CACATGGGACGACACTGTGTGATCCACAAATTTGTTGCTTGTGTCTTTCTCTTGTTTGTTTCTTGTTCTGAGTCTGGGTGTTCGTTGTGCCCGTTTCATGTATGTTTCTAAAGTCCCCCGCGACACAGGATACTCGTATATTCCTACTGCGGGAGTTGTCTTTTAAAAACATAATATTATAATAAGTTAAAGCTTCTTTTCGCGTGGTGACGGATTAAGAATACGGAGTGTCACCACCCCAATTCATCCCGTAGGTGTCGTAAGAGGCGACTAAGGGAGCAAACTACGCAAACAGCAGTACAAAGAGAAGGAAAACTTGGCACAAACCCTATACCAACCCGTCTGGCCAGCGTGGTATAGTAGGCCAAAACCTCCTTTCTAAGGAGAGGCTTACGTCCAACAGTGGACTATTAAAGGCTGTTGATGTGATGATGTGAAAGCTTCTTTTGTATACTCCTTTTTTCTTATTTTTGTGTACAGAACAACAAAATATATAAGGACTACCATTCAGATGTAGGGACTACATTCGACAACTTGGAGTTCTGACTGTCTGCTATCTCTGAGTGTTTGTGTGTCAGTTATTGACAATCAGAATTAGCTAAATTTCGCACACCAATACAAAACTGGTGTGGTGTGAAAGCAGGATATTTTCTTGAGTGAAAGTATCTAGATATTCATGATAGTGGCAGAAACAAAAATATACATGAGTATTTATTGTTATACCGCAGCATAACACCACCGGGGTAACGCAAACTACGCGAAGGATATTGTGACAAACAAAGAGCCGTTACACAACGGATGACGTCACAGTACAAAGTCCGGACGAACCAATTGGAAAGTTCAACATTGGCGGCAGAACGTTTGCGCCAACTATTTGGTCTAAATGGTTGGTTGGAATTATTAGCTGGAGCTAAATGGGTCAATTTGTGTTTTGACAAGTCCAAAGTGCAAACATTGAGAGCTAGTCTGTCCCTGAACTCGTCCTCGTCTATTTCTGGGTACATTGTTTCATTGGAATATCATTTCCACTAACGGTCGTAGGTAACATGATTTTGAAATGATATTACATACAAGTTCAGATTTTAACACTGCTAGGAAGGTGGGTCGCGTGTTATTAGCATTCCTGTAAACCCCTAACCCCTAACATCGGTCTTTACCTGAACCCATGTTAAGAGGGATTTTAGGTGGGGGAGAGGGGGAGCTTAGATTTTGCGGGGGTTTAGTCGCCACCTCACTGAAACCCGTTGCCATACGAGCATCTGTGGCAATCGTTACGGGTACGACAACAGTATCTACAGAACTTCTATATCGCCTAGTACCTGGGGGGGGGGGGGGAAGGTGTGATGGCAGTCGCTCCACGTAAAAAATCAAAGTTCAGCCGTATCGTAGTGGACCCAAAGCCGACCCCAACGCAGTTGGAAAAGGGATCCGATGATGATGAATCACCACCTCACTGAAAACAGCGTGGTGACCTCCCGACGGGGTTTTAACAAAAGAAGGTCCTAAGTGGCATCTAAATTCTCAACAAGATCAACGTCGAGCACCTGAGAAACTGACAGTGTGGTACCGAGTGGTAAACCTAAAACCACCACTTTATCGAGGCATTTATGTAAAACTAGCTGGTGCCCGACACTTTGTTAGCGTGGAATTTGAAAAGCGCTGCCTAGTGGGCTCGATTCCCGGAACGAGCAAAATTTTATACGGGTTTTTTGAGATAAAAAAAATAGCCTCAGTTACTCCTTATATAGACTAGGTATACGTGGTAGTAAAATATTATCAAAATCTGTAAAGCCGTTTTGAAGATTATCCGAAATAAACCGACAGACAGACAGACAAAAAATATTTAAACTGGTTTTTAGGAATAGGTATCGTGAAAATAACCGTATGAGCATGAAAAAAACCTATTATTTAGACATTACAAACAGACACATCAAATTTTATTTATTTGTATAGATATAGATAGTAGTTATGCTAAATTACTGAGCGTGATTTAATGAAATATTATTTAGGGCGAGTCAGGGCAACTATCATATTACACAGCGCTATCTTAGAATTGTTATTTGCCTACGCAAGTATGGTAGATATTGTTATTGCCCAATAACTACACGTTTTATAGAATAGGCTTTATTACGATTTCCCTAGATCAGCATATATTTAAGTGGAACATATTTGTATTACAACTATTTGCGTTTCGCAACACGCCAGCGTTTTGCAACGTGGGCAAAATATATATTATGCAGACAATTTAGCCGTTTTGATCACTCTTTTAATATTTATGTAGGTAACAAGTATGTTAATTCAGCTATATTGTAGCTGCAAACTCAAGATTACGAGACGTAAACTTTAAATGTTTCTGCTCGTCTCCTATTTAACGTGGACGTGATGTTATTTATTCTATAATCAGCTTCTATTGACCTACCTAGTGCGAGAAGCACAGGTCACTTTTAGCTAGTGTATTCATTTCAGCTTTATATCTGGTGACACCATCAACGTTCTCAAGTCTGTGATTGTAGGTGCATGTGTTAGAACCCTACAGTAATGTATTGGTACAACTCTTGAAGTGCTATAAATCATAGACAACACATCATTAGACGGGACGCGAAATTATCGCCGACGACGGTTTTAATTTCAGTTTTTTAATATATTAATAATAATATCTCATGATAGTTATTTCTTCATAATATACCATCACCTTGAAGATTTTGCTATTACAAAACCATAGAAAAGTATCTACTATGAATAATTACACACACCAGTATATTTCTTACTTTCGTGAACAGAACCACATGATATTACACAGCTAAATTAAGAAGTTATCATAAAGTACACAACTCAGTTAAAATTCTGAACACCTTAATATAGTTACACAAATACCCGTTCATATAACATTTTTAAAAATAAAAGAGCTACAATTAACCTCTTTAGTGGGTTATAAAATTACTGGCCACGTGTTTTGACTTCAAACAACGTTAAATATAACTATGTAATGGAGTTTGCACTCTGTGTTTATCCTAACAGCCCTTATGTTGATAACTACGATATGACACCTTAGTTTGACGCATTAAAGCTGAAATTACTTTGTTCAAAAGAGAAAATACTGTGTTTTGGCTTTGTGTCCCAGAAACACGTTTTAAACAATATGTTTAAACTTAGAATTAATTTTACACGCTCATACTGCAATCGTGACGTATACGTATAAATTGTTATTGCTGTAATTTTAGACGAGATTTAAACTGTAATTGACCTATCCTTAGGACAATTTACACTAAATAATACTCTTGTATTGAGAGTCCAAAGGTTTGTAGTTTAAATACAACTTTAAATGTTGAATCTAATTCGTCACGTGAAAAAGTGCTAGGTAGTCAAAAACGAATCTTATTACGTTAAGGATAAGATTGTAAATGGATTTAACGTGGTGAGATCACGCAGTGTGCACGTGCTTCGACGCCGGTAGAGAGTTCACAGCTGTTGTTTAAATGTTGGACTTTGGACTGGAGGCTACAATCACCGGTGCGCGTGAATAACGTGTAACGACTCCATGATTTGTTTGTCCACGTCTTATTGAGTCATCATCAGTTTCATTCCTGCTACTATTACTCAAGAAACGCCGTTTGTATCTAAGTGCAGACTTATTATTACAACTAAGCATATTTTAAAAATAGAACTAATTTATTAGTCAGTCAGTCTTCATTGGAACTCTTTTTAAATTCAACCAGTCTCATTGGAATTACCATTATAGCTAGGCTGTATACAGAATTGTCTCTGGATAAAAATATGACTTTTTATAACAATTTTTTGGTTTAATGTTTAATCTGTTTATGCCTATAAATGACAATATACCTAATTGAGACGTGTAGCTAGTCACGTTTGCAATAAGAAGTATTCGTGTTAGGATATTGTTAACCTCTTTACTTAAAATATAGTTAGACCGCGCTAGTAATTATGTGTCTCAGCGTTTTCCTATTCTTAACTTCAAAAACTTATGAATTAACAGCATAAAAGGTATTTATAGATATACCTACTTAGTTTGGTTATCCATTTTATGTTCAAAATGCGTATATAAGGAACACGGATTTAAGGTTACAAGAATAGAATAGATAGGAAAAGACCTTCGATATTGAAGTGATCCAATCAGATATCTACCTAGGTAAGGTATCTATCAATTTAACAGATAAATACTCCTTATTCAGTGAATATATAATATGTACTTGAGGTAGGTAAGTATTTGGACCGTAAGTAGGTACTTGAACGTAGAAATAACATTGTGCAATATTCTCCTAGAATTGCATCTAGAATAGATGCCGTAACCATGGACTATTGCTTTCCTTGAACATTACATACCGAGGTATTGGATCATAAAAATATTTTAAATTTGCCCTAAATTCGAAATGCATTTCGATTGGCTGGATCGCAGCCAGGAAAGCGCAACATTCTAGCTCCAAATATGCAAACAATGCAATATAAAAAAAAAAGTTTAAAAATCTAATTAAAAGCGCGGTAAAATAAACAATATTATTGGGATACCGAAAAAAATACTAAATAAAGATTAAATAGAAACTATATAGTCATAGAAAAGTATAAGCGTTTGCTTTGCTATCACGAAGGTAAAACGTGTAGAATGCCATTTGCCGGGTCCAAAGTCCGCAAGGTAACATTGACGTCGGTGAAGCAAACGTGTCTTGGACAACGCTTTTGTTATAAATTCACTTTTAAAGTATTTAAGTATAGGTCTATCAACAGATCCCAAGCTTAATTAGTTAATACAAAATAATTCCATATGTTTAAAAATTTTCATTACACACATTTACTACGAAGAAACTACCTAACTGTTATTCTGACTTGTGACATAGTTAGGTATTCCTTAATAATTTTATTTTCTTTAGAACACTGTTAAAAGTAGATGTTTACAATGTTAAAGTAAGGTATTCTTAAAAAAATATTTATAACAACAATTTTATAGATAACAAGTAAATAATGTTGTAATAGTCTTGTTGTCTTACCTTTTCGAGCAGGTCTTGTCCAATTGAGTTTGCGTCCACTTTGACTTCTAAAATCACAGAGTTTGCTTGACTGATTAACCACATTTTGTCAAACATTTTTAAGATTAAACTGTAAAAATAGAATTTTAAATGGGGTCGAATGTAGTTAGGTGTTTACAATTTCGAAGTATAACACTTATCCAATAATGTTTATCTCACTCGCGTAAAGAATTTATTTAAAAATGTCTTTCTTAATTCGCTCTGCGCAATGTTTATCGCGTATTCTTTGTGGAAGTAAAACTGTGAATAACTTCCGACGACGGCCATACTACGTTAAGTTTGCCACCGAAATGATAAAGAAAACAGTGACGTTACAAAGGCGGGGGGAGCGGACCTTGTACCTCTACGAAATGCATTTATAATGTCTATGTGCTTATCAACTTATACGTTATCCATTGCTACTAATACGCTAGCTTGGTTCATATCATTCCAATATAAACGTCAATGTATAATGTGTATTTTAATTATAGTGAATCACAATTTTCTTTCACTGAGGCCAGTCGGTGAGTTGTTTGGTTAGTTCATCGTTTCGTATGATAAAGAGAGAGATGGAAGTAGTACAATAAAAGCAATAATTTATTTATTTTATTCTAGTATACTAATTTCAGGTTGTTTTTATTAGGTAATCAAGGAATATACAATATTTCCTCATCTAAAAATATACTGCATTATATAAATCCAGTTTTTATGTTTAATGGTTTTTTGTTTTTGTACCCTTCATTATTTAAATTTAGCGCTAATTATAAATGTTGCCATGAGCTAGATTGAACAATTTTCAATATTAGCCAAAAACTATTAAAAATATTTTTAGACGTTATCCTTTATTTTTGATTAACAGGTAATTTTATACAAAATAATAACAGACATGACAAAGAAAATGGTGACAAAAAATAGTCCTTTTTTTACTGTTCACATTGTTTTTTGTATATTGCCATCTAGTGATAATTTTTGACACTGTGATTGCCAACATTTCCTTAACAATCCCATTCATTCAAAAATAATTTAACAGTTTTCATTTCATTGTTTTACAATTAGATTAACATGTCAAGAACATGTTAATCTAACAAAAGCCATTTAAAGTTTTATAAGAAATACCACCCTAGAATAATTTTTCGTTTTCAAGTATGACCGAGTAATTAATTTTTGTCTTAAACCCCTTTCCTTTACACGCAAAATACAAAAGCACGAGCCGCTGACAGCGCCAATTGTGACAACATAGTAGAACTAAAGTAATCATATGACTCTCGTCACGAAGTCTTATTGCGCCTATCGATTTGTGTCTTGGTCTTGATTCTCACTCGACTTAGTTTTTGTGTGTATCAGAAATGGCGAGTCAGACACAGGGAATCCAACAACTGTTGGCGGCTGAAAAACGCGCTGCCGAAAAGGTTTCAGAGGCGAGGAAGCGTAAGTTATTATATCATTAATACGCCTTTTACAACCATTATACTTGTACCTTTCCATTATAGATTTTAGCACGTACGACTAGCAGTTTTGCCCCTATAACTCTTACTAGCTTAAAATTTAAAGATAGTTGGTAATAATTGTAGTTTCTTACGATATATTTCTATCGGTTTGAGTGTAATCACATGATTTTTGTGTTAAACCTGTTTCATTGAATTTGTCATTGACATCATCCGCTCTCTACCTCAGCTCAAACGAAATTAACAACATTCATATCATTTTCCATGAGAATAATTCATGAATGGATTTACTTACAACTGTCTTTAGAGTTCTCTACCTTGTGACGCCCTAATCTATCTTGTTATCAATATCGTTGTAGTTAAATGAAGTTAACATGCCTAAAAGTAAAAAATATTAGTGATATTCGTTTCCAATTCTTTTAAAAGATTCAGAAATTTCTTCAGAAGCAGGCAGTCTGTCACATGATTGTCAATTTTACTGCTGATCAACCAATCAGATAGTGCAGAGACAGTTTTAGATGCAGATAAAGGTTTGTAGTCGAATTTAGACAAATACTTGATCAAGGCTGTTTCTACACAGTATTAAATCCTATTTTTTTTACCTTGTGACACAAATACTATGTATGTTGAATAGTAGAGAGTTGACAATAACACTGCAAAGAGAAGGAAAACTTGAAAAAACAATCATTTTTTTTTATGTGTGGAAACCCCACCGGGTTGGCCACACCAACTTGAAACAAACCCATCAACCCATCTGATTAGTGAGGTATAGTAGGTCAAAATCTCCTTTCTAAGGAGAGGCCTATGTTCAGCAGTGGAGGCTGTGGAGAGTATTGTTTAGAAAATGAGCTAATAAATTATCAAAAGACTGATTAACTCTTATTTAAATTTAACTTTATCTTTTAATATGGTAGCTTTCCAGTGACAGGAAACTCAAGTGATTTTATCTTTTCTAATAAATCTTTGAGCTTTATGATTTCAACTATCTTCTTCTTCTCTTATACTTACTAGACTCATATTGGGGTGTCATAGATAAATGACAGAGATAAATGATGTCCGTGTGGTGACGGATTAAGAATACAGAGTGTCACCACCCCTATTCATCCCATGGGTGTCCTAAGAGCTGACTAAGGGAAAAACTACGCAGGACAACAGCACTGCAGAGAGAAGGAAAACTTGACACAGACGCTATACCAACCCGTCTGGCCAGCGTGGTATAGTAGGCCAAAACCTCCTTTCTAAGGAGAGGCTTATGTCCAGCCACTGCTGGACATCAGCCTCTCCTCCACTGATGATGATGATGAAGATAAATGACACCCCAATATGAAACAAATGCTTGTCCTCCCATTATCCGATTGTCTAGGGTGGGAATCAAACCTACAACTTCCAACTTAGTATTCAGGACCACTATCACACTAGGTTATATGAAGATAACATCTTAGTTTCTCTAGCAACAGGGTTATCATTAGCAAAGACATCATGTGGTCATAAGCTACCCACATATAGTAATAATAATAATAATAGCCTTTATTTCAGACAATTTTCATCTACAGTATTTTAACATCTTAATTTTTGTAACATTTTTTACTTTATATATTTTATATCTTATCTACTATGCTTAACTATTACTTATCGACAACTCTGTCTGTGTGCCACTAATTGGCAAAGGCCTCTTCCAACTTCTTCCATTCCTGTCTATCCTTAGCAGTTCTCGTCCATGTGCCCCCTGCTAAGGCTCTAATGTCGTCCACCCATCTTTGAAGTGGTCTTCCTTTTTTTCTTTTATCGATTATTATCGATTTCGACCATTTCTCCATTCCTCTAATTGTATGGCCTGACCATTTCCATTTTAACTTTTTTATTGTTGTTGTTACATCTTATGTTTTCGTGTGTTTCTTTATGGTTTCTACCCACATTCAAGCATAAAAATGTTACTTATAAGAATTATTTAATTACCCAAAACACTATACTGACAACTCATAACTACTTACATTGTATTACAGGAAAAGCGAAACGCCTAAAGCAAGCCAAGGAAGAAGCTCAAGATGAGGTGGAAAAGTACAGACAGGAGCGCGAAAGGCAATTCAAAGAGTTTGAGGCCAAGGTATAATATAAGATACATTATTTCTTTTACAGTTCCGTAGTAACCAACTTTGGATTAAATACAACTACGCCCCTGTAACTAAGACGGTTTCGGTGTTTTAGACACTGCTCAACACACTATTTCAATGTCATCCTAAATTACATATTTGTGCTACCGGAAATTTATAAGTAAGGAAAAAAGATTATCCAGTTCAAAGGACCAATGATAAATCCCTGCAGGTATAAAACTTAAAGGCAATTGACAGAAAAATTGTACATATAATAATAAAATACATTTCAAATATGGTGCGCATGCTATGCTTGCGGACTCCAGTAGCAGTTTCCCAGGATGGCAGCGCACACCTCACCCACAATAGATTAACTTGATCAGTTTGACAGCTTTCATGACTTCCCACAAGTTAAAACATAAAATATTAGAATCGAACATAATATTTACTGTGGGAGTCATGCATCGGTACAAATGGGCCAACTCACCTGAAGTGATACCGCAGTCTGGCAAAAAACTGGTGTTAAGTAATTCCTTCGTTGTATAGTAATAATACAATAATATTTACTTACATCTGACACACGACGCCATCTTGTTTCAAACTAAGCAGAGCTTGTCCTATGAAAGCTATATTGACTGATAGAATACTATTATACTTTTTTTTTGTAAATACACACATATTATACATAGAAAACACCCAAACTCCGAAAACAGCAGCAGATCATACAAACATTTGGTCTGACCCGGGAATCGAACACGAGACCTCAGCACAGCAGTCACATACGCTACCACTCCACCACCAAGGCAGTCAATTGTATTTCCTCCGATAGAGTGAAGTTACTAAAGCCATTCCCCTGATTCTCGAGAGATATTCATATTTAAAGGCTGGCAACCTACTTGTGACTCGAGTTGTAGGCGTCTATGGTCGACGGTAGTCACTTACCATCACGTGACCCGTCTGCTCGTTCACCCTCCATACCATAAGAAACTTCACTAAAATTATTTTTATATCTTTGTTTGTTTATCTTATTTTTATATCTTTTGCATATTAGAGGTAGACACGTAAAGAGTTGAATATGCCACTACACTGTACAGTCCTTTTACCGGTAAGCACTGTACGGTGTAGCATCATATCAGAGGTTAAGATTTTTGTAATTTTGATTCTTCTTCAAGAGCCATCTTCGTTCTGTAGGTTGGCAATCATCAAGGATATTCTAGTTTTAAATACTGCTGATCTAAAACATTGATTTGATCAGCAGTTGAACTACTTTCAAATTTTGTTTAAAAAAAATAACCTTGGTTAATATATTTATGTATACTGCCTATTTCTTTTATAAGTCTACATATTAAAAGTTTTTAATATAGATTTTTCATAAATATTGTGTCATCACATCAACAGCATTTATTAGTCCACTGCTGGACATAGGCCTCTCCTTAGAAAGAAGGTTTTGGCCTACTATACCACGCTGGCCAGACCGGGTTGGTATAGGTTTTGTTTCAAGTTTTCCTTCTCTTTGCAGTGCTGTTGTCCTGCGTAGTTTGCTCCCTTAGTCGTCTCTTACGACACCCACGGGATGAATAGGGGTGGTTACACTGCGTATTCTTAATCTGTCACCACATGGACAACAAAATATAAAACAATAAATAAAATATTGTATAATTATCTTTAAATACTTATGTTAAACTACTAAAGTGAGTTTTTACCCTTTCCAATTTTCTTTTTCATTTAATTATTCTTGTTTGTTAGCACATGGGTACCAGGGAAGGTGTAGCTGCTAAGATTGATGCAGAGACTAAAGTGAAGATTGAGGAGATGAACAGAATGGTGAAACAGCAACAGGAGCCGGTATGTATTAGTGTTCCATATCATTTAATATAAAACAGGCTTTCCGTAAATAGCCATAGATAGGCGACATATTTCCTAGTGCACAGGAAGTAATAATAATATATAATAATCATTATACCCATCTCAAACACTGTCACACATATTGTCTAATCCCAAACTAGGCAGATCCAGTACTATGGTAGAGAGACTGCTGATAAACATACTTAAATATTTCTAAATACAAACATATATAACAAACATATTATAGGTAAATTAGACACAGAACAAATGATCGTGCTCATTGTACAATCCTCGGTAGGAATCGAACACACGACCTCTGGCTTAGCAGTAATGGTCACTAACCGCAAGACCAACAGGCCTGTCGATGTTTTTCTGTTAATGAAATGAATGTTTATTTGGATCACCAAGTTGCCTGTGCTCTTGGAGTAATCTTTCGACAGCGTATAATCTCGCGAGACAAATATAATCTAACAGTATTTTCAATTTTCCCTCGTATCTTTGACCTTCTATGGAAACCTCGATTAATATGCCTCATAGATAAAGCAGAACCGTTTCCATAGACAACAAGTCTGTACCAATTTATGTTGTTTTTTTATTCCAGGTGATCAAAGACGTTCTCAGCCTGGTGTACGACATTAAGCCTGAGCTCCACGTTAACTACCGCTTCAAGTAAACGTATATGATAAAAAATACATTAAATACCATCTGTTTGTCGCGTATTAAACGCTTGCAATCATCTTAGTTGTAATTGTTGTTCAGTTAAAGGCATTAGGCGCGGCAGAACCGAACGTGCAGGTAGCTACTCAATGTGTTGCCAACAAAAAAAAAAAACATGTTTAATCGATTGATTTTAATAGTTCTCAAGTCTATTACCAGTGAGAGGACGGTTGTTGCTAGTTTTGAGCGGTAATGTTGGTATTAATCTGTCATCAAAATGTCAACTGTCATTAATACGCGGGAGTCTGTCCGTTAGCTGTAAATACAAGTGTTGCTTGATTTCGCCGTACATCTATTTAAATAAATTATTCAATTAATATTGTCTAAGCGTTAAGTATCAGCTCGGTATCATTCCAGAACGTTGAAGGTCCGGCATTGAACACAATAAAAATAATGTACCTATAATCTTAAATTGTATGTTATTCAATGTTGTATGTTGAATAGAAATATATAAAGTTTAAAAAAGATTGTTTTTTTCTGTAGTGGCGAAGGGGTGTGCAGTATTAGTGAAATATAAATATTGATGTATTACACTTTATTGGTTTTATTATATTTGGGCAATTTCTGGTGATTTTATCGCCGTGTTTCTGCAACAAGAAAAAGTATTTTAAAACTACATTTTATAAGTTACAATATTGTTACTGGTCGTCCTCGTTCTGAATGCGCACTATATTAGTGATGCCCATAGATGCGCTCGGAACAAAAATTCAGATGGACTATTATTATCCATTCGCGTTTGGAAAATAGTGACGCATCGATATCGTTTCGTGTGAGTCAAGTTCTCATTGAGTAGTTGACTGCAGAAGTCAACTACTCAATGAGAACTTGACTTTATAATTTTTTGGAATCTGATTCCTTATGGAGCGGGGCATAATCTCTCATAAGCTGCGAAAAGCGCGAAATGCCGCTACACTGTAAAATGCCTTTACCGGGAGCGATGATCAGTGCGGTGAGCGCTGATCAGCGCAGCGGCACGTGAGAGGTTAATCAGTGGATAACGATACGTCACTATTATCTTAACGCGAATGGTCTATAAGTATAATAACAGACTAGTACAAAGTATTTTTTTGGTGAAATAGCATGCAAGGCGAAAGGTTTTAGATGCTTACAAAGGATGGTCAATAAAGAGAGACAAAAAATAACAAGACAAATACTTTTTACCTTAGCTGCAACCTCTTATTCCCGAGGTTCTCGAGCCATGAAGCTACAGCGCCAACTGAAGAGAATACTGCGGGCTGGTCAGGTTTATCGCAGCGCTTGGATGAGAACGAAAGGATTCCTACTAGAGCGTTGTCCATTATCGCAGGACCGCCCGCGTCGTGCTATTAAAAAGAAATCAGAATGTGACAGTTGTTAAATTTTATTATTTTATATATATATATATATATATATATATATATATATATATATATATATATATATATAATGGAATTACTTTTAAATTAATCAATTTAAAAATAAATGGAGCGTGTTGAAAACTTAATTTAATAAGGATATTGCCGTGGATAGGTCTGCTGTTTCTTAATAAGGAATGACAACCCTAGTCGAGCTAAATAGAGTAAATAATTGAGACCAAGGACAATTTTTGGATTCATAAAAATATAAAATAAAATTAAAATACTACAAATATGCGAATTGTAGTATTCATTCGCTTTTTATTTTTATATACAAACAAAAGATTGTGTGCCTAAAGAAAGAACTCGAAATATCTGAAAACGAAAATAGTGTTGCGCACAAATTCGCTTGCCGTTCAAAGTGAACTGACGGAGGGGCGCTACCACCGCGGTAACACAGGTCAGAGGCTAGTGGAGGACTAGTTTTTTGACTATGGCAAGGAGCAAAGTGAGCTGTCAGTGTCAGATGCCTGTCACTTTCCCTGAAACGTATTTGATCCTAATAGGGATGGAATAAAATCACAATCACATGTTATTAATCATATCATCACACTTGTGTCAAATTTACAAAACCACTGCTGCTTAATTATTGTTATTACGCTAGCGCAAGACTCGCGAAAGTTTTTAATCTAAAAAAAAGAAGGTAATCTTTGATAAAATGAACTATGATTGATTTTAATGTCATTTATCTTTGTCTATGACGAAATCACAATCACATTAGAAATCGCAGTGACTAAATCCAATCATTTCATCAAGGGATTATGATTTAAAAGTAGCAATAATTTCCATGTCCAGATCGTACATAATATAATAACATATTATTAGTTATTATTTAAGCAATAATGAGGTAGGTTAGCGTATAATGTTCCAGTTTTAATTTTATGGTTACTTACATTGCAAACATTTTTCGGTAATGTTATGTAACCAGCGCAGAAATTGGTGCGAGTCACTAAGTCTCTGTAAAACAAAATATATTCAGCATTTGGGTGTAATTTATCTATTATATGTATGTCTTAAAATATATATATGTAAGTATGTTTATCGGCAGCCTGGTTATCATAGTACAGGCTCTGCCTAGTCTGGGATCAGACCGCCGTATGTGAGATATTATTATTTAGATATGCAACATTATTTATTACATTACAAAGACGTAAACGTGTAAACGGCCTATAAAGTTACCCAGTTGACGGTAATGGGCTTGGCCCTTACTAGGTCAGTGGGACTAAAATTATCCCCGATGTACACTCACGCCCATATAGGCGTCATCATCATCATGATCAACAGCCTATAACAGTCCACTGCTGGACATAGGCCTCTCCTTAGAAAGGAGGTTTTGGCCCACTATAACACGCTGGCCAGACGGGTTGATTTAGGGTTTGTTTCAAGTTTTCCTTCTCTTTGCAGTGCTGTAGTCCTGCGTAGTTTGCTCCCTTAGTCGGCTCTTACGACACCCACGGAATGAATAGGGGTGGTGACATTCCATATTCTTAATCCGTCACCACACGGACATATAGGCGTATGTAGGGAAAATAAATATGTTTTACTTTCCGTAAACTTCTTGGCAGTCGGCTACATCATACACTGGCAGCTTAACTTTCTGCAGTAAGACTTCACCTCCTGCACCGGTAATACCCTGAAATAATGTAGAATTTATAAGAAGCTGCAGTTGGACTTTGACAACTCTTTATATTCAGTTATCTAAACCATTATGATATTAAGACATCACGGGTATCTAAAATATAGAAATCTATGTATATACCTTTTACCCCATCATCAGGATACAGAGTACCTACCTTTCAGGTAAAAAACTACCCAATGGATGGACACAGAATAATTAAAAAAAAAGTATTCATCCCGATTGAATGCGGCTAATTATCACTGAAGACACATGATTTTGCCAATCCATTTTCCTCCTCCCCCTGTACAGTGCCCTCACAACTATTCAATATTCACCATCAGTTCTCAAGAAAAATATTTACCAGAACCGAACCCCAACCAAGAAACAGGATCTGATTGTCGACAGGAACGAGTTTATCCGTTGAGTAAGCAATACTGTCTATATGGGAGTCTGGATTTCCAAAGGAGAGGTTTTTGTGCAGTTTGAGCACAGCCAAGTTGAACTCCAAAGTCTGAGGCTTGTAATTGGGGTGGAAGAAGATCTCGGCGACTCGGAGGACTTCGCCACCAGATGTGGCGTTCGTGGACCCCACACGGACGCTCAACATCTTGACGTATTCACGAAAGAATCTGTTGTTGTACTGCCTGGAAATATTAACATTATTAAGGACTGGAGATTCAGTTTTTAAACAATTAACTCCATGGGGGTTGGAAATTTATTTTAAACTTCATTAAACAGTAAATACTCTGTAGTTTTTATCTTCTTTTATACATATACCTATAATATTAATTCATTGTATCCTGATGACGACCACCACAAGAACGAAGTCGAGTACAAAAACTAGTATAGTAGTAAATTGCATTAAACATCGTGTTTTTATGGTACATAGGCAAACGAGCTGATGGACCACCTCACAGTAAGAGACCAACGCTGACCATAAACAGTTAGACATCTACCACTTAAGAGACCCAAGTGCGTTTACTTCCTTATTGTATTCCTCTCAGGATAACAGGGTGGGGAGTTGGACCTGCAGTAAACTCACTCACTCTGTGAAAAGCCACGAAAGAATAGCTTAACACCAGTTTACTGTGAGGCTGCGGTACCACTCCGGTCGAGCTGGCCCATGGCTCTCTTATATAATATATCTTTTATTATTCTGCTTGTGTACCAACCAACCAACCAAATCTGGATTAGTTAATTTTGGATTTACTCGTACACATCATCACATCAACAGCCTTTAATAGTATACTGCTGGACATAGACCTCTCCTTAGAAAGGGGGGTTTTAGCCTACTACACCACGCTGGCCAGACGGGTTAGGTATCGGGTTTGTTTTAAGTTTTACTTCTCTTTGCAGTGCTTTTGTCCTCAATAGTTTGCTCTCTTAGTCGGCTCTTACGACACCCACAGGATGACTAGAGGTGGTCCCACTCCATATTCTTGGCCGTGATCACACGGATTTACACTTCAATAAATCTTAACAAAAGCTTGTATTTTAAGTCTTTATAACTCACAGTTGTAGGCAATGAGCTGCAGTTAGAACTTTATCCTTATCAATGATGACGCCGCCACACCACAGTTCTTCGTTCACCAGGAGAGCAGCCATGAAAGGATATCTTTCAATTGAAGCAATCTCATCAGGGTTGTATATCCTACGGAAGCGACGGTTCAGCGGTGGGTAGACAGGCTTTGAAGTTGTTTTTTCTTGGGCGTGTTGTTTTAAGTCTGTGGTATTGTTTGAATTCTTTTTAAATCCTTAACCACTGATTATAAGCTAGTGTTTAGAGTTGGCAACCAACCACCACAAATTAAACACTAGCTGCTCGCTGCCTCGCCGGTTTGGACGTCATACTGATGCGGCACGTCTATTTACCTATTGTTAAAAAGCCTCCCTCGAGTCTGAAGCTAGGCATCTCAGAAACACACACGTAGATGTATAACCTTAATAGACATGATAATTTTTTGATAGTAGTAACACATTTAAAAGGACAACGAAATAATCTAAAACGCATCTTACATGTTCTTGACAAAAAGATTACCTACAGTTGGCACCATCTTGATGGAGTAGGTACTAACCCTGTATGGTTGTCGTCAAAATAGTGGCCATAATTTGAGGGCTGACACTACTATAAGTAAGTACAGCATCTTATAGGACTTATCACTTTCTTTCGTAAGTAATTAATTTATTAAATTTACAAGTATTGATTTGGAGATTTGAATTTAGCGATGGTAGAGTATATTTTTTCATTTAACGTGATGATAAATTCAATCATTCACTAAATTAGTTTTCTTTGACGTTTATGCCAACGCAAATATCTATAAGTATGAATGTTCTTACTAAACTAAATTAAAACAAAACGATGGTTTGTACTTACATGTCATGGGCTCAATGATTTCATTCAATTGTTGCTCTCTCTTAGGGAACTCTATTGGCAGTCCTTCATACTCCAAACGTGGGTTGTTACTGCGACGATTTATTGCTACTGCATATTCAAAAATTGTTTCATTAAGTTTATTTCTATATACCTATACTAAAACATCAAGCAAAATATACACAAATATTTTTACTTACCATCCTCTTCACTGATGTCTGATGATGAAGATGAAATGTGAGGTGTAACCATTCTTATCAGGTAAACAATTATGAAGATGGAGGCCATTTTGCAATAACATTGATCGGCCATTTTGATTTTCTGTTCTGATATCTGTCAGAAATGCCAACATTAATTAAAAGATCTAATTTAATGTTTCTCTGCTTTAATCTTTAATGCTGCCTAATAGAGTAACAGAAAATATTTTTTTATAGGTTAATAGTATTGGTATGAGACGTTTTAAGTCCGAGTAAACAAGTCCACAGATAATCTGCATATTATTTTTTTATGTTAGAGGCGGTTTATGTTTTTTGTTAGTATATCTAAGACAAGCAGACCGGTCACCTCATGGAAAGTGACCATCGCTGCCCATGAAGTCACAAACGCAATGCCGGCCTTTTAGGAAGGTGTACGATCTTTTCTTGAAGGTTTGAAGGTCATATCGGTCCAGATATACCGCAGGCGATAACCCGTTCCACAGATTGGTTGTACGAGGCAAAAAGTGTCTCGAAAAGCACACAGTAGTAGCGCGCCAACTATCCAGCTGATGAACGAGCGAACCCAATTTTTATATTCCTAATTAATTTTTAAGCACGTAGCGAGCTTGATTAACAAAAACATGAAGGATTACTATGAAGATGGGAAAAACAAGGGTACTATTAGGTGGTACACGTTGCCGAAAATGAACTGGACGTGCTATTTGAAGTATCCTGTTTTGTGATATTACGAAATCCATTTGGAGATGTAAATGGGAGTTTTAAAACGACAGAAGCACGCTGTCGCAACCCTACTATTTAATTAATAAAAAAATATCTATACTACACACCTACCCAGGGGTAACACTATGAATTTGATTTTTCATATATCCTGAGTATTAGAATTGACGAATTTAACGACATTTTCCAATGAAATAAAGTAATAAAATAAAAAATTTAATAAAATATTTATTATAAAAGGCTATAAAGAAATACCAATAATAATACTATATCACCAAATAATCATTTTTCTTATGGCAAGATCGAAGGCAGATTCATTTTTGTTTCCTCTTTTACATCTTCAGTGCCAACCGCCGTGGGACCAACCACCCCAATGGCTTCCCAAGTCGTTTCCCCATCCATTACCCCATCCATAGCCGGTGTAGATAGGAGTCCTAATAATAGGGGCCGTGACTATGGGGGCTGCGACTATGTGCCGGACTACGGGTGCAGTCACCACAGGAATAGTCACACCATGGTTGATGACCGTGGACACTGGTGGAAGAATGGGTGAGGCTGTGAAGAACAAAAAGGCCAATCATTTATTTGGTTGTGTACTTATATATTTTATATTTTAATGGGAATAATAAATTGTAGTGATTGCATGACGTAACGATGCAAGAGTGGTTTCATTATTGTACTGTGTACTTATTAAAGAATTCGTAATTTAAATTTAAAGTGTTACATAGGTACTGATTGCCAATTCCTGTCAGTTTCATCTGCATTTATGGATGTACTAAAGATTGTAGGTTGAGGTTTTATAGCCTATATTATTCAATAAATATTAAATACTCTAAAAATAAAAATAAACATTGAAATCTGATTACTAATTTCAGGGTTTTATGCGTCACGGGCACGCCGTCATCGCGGCGGTAAGACCCATTATGGGAGATTGGCTCGAGAGGCGTCACGGGACCCTCTTATACCGACTCACGCAGGTGATCACTGGGAAAGGATGTTTCGGGGATCACCTGTGTCTGATCCGCAAGGAGCCAACTCCTGAGTGCCACCACTACGATGGCCAGACCGTGGACACGGCTCTCCATACGCTGGCAGAGTGCCCGACGTGGGTTGAGCAGAGGCGAGACCTCGTGGCGGCCATCGGAGTGGGAGTTCTCTCGCTCGATAGCCTGATTGCGGCTATCGTGCGGAGCGAGAGTGCGTGGAACTCTGCCGTCTCCTTCTGCGAGCAAGTTATGCTCGCGAAGGAGACGGCGGAGCGGGACCGGGAGAGGTTTAGAACTCTCCCGGCCCGCTAGGCCCGGGAACGGGCCAGGTACCGCAGGCGACTCAGACGCCGGAACAACCTCCGTCCTCCATAAGCGCAGGCCTGGGAGTGACAGGTGAGGCCATCTGTCACCCTAGCAGAAGCAGGCCAACATGCAGAGGGAACATGCGGTTCGTACACGGGGGGGGTCGTCTACTCGTCTGTAGATGGCCCGTATGTCGGGGCACCAGGGACTTCCTTTCTAGGGTATACCTGGTTCCCCGGCTATTAGTACCCGAGACGGCGTGCGGTTTTAGTCGGTTCGGGTCCGACATGCCACATACAAACATATTTTGTTGTTGTTATGTTATCACAATATCAAATATCACAATTTTGTATGGAAAAAATATGATAAAGTCGTCAGTATCACTTCAGGAAGATTATATTGGTAACTAACTAACTCTAATTTGATACTACCAAATAAATATACCAAAATTACACATTAATAACAAGACTTTTAGAAATTTCTTGAATTTTGACATTATTGGAACAATTTTATAAGATTATAAACTGGGTGCTTCCACACGGTGCAAGTAGCTGGCGCAGGCAGACGCTGGTTACTTGCGTCAGTAGTATGCACGAGTTACTTGCTCGTTTGGTTTATAATATAATATATTATATTATAATATGCATGCTGCTCGCGCGGGTTACATGTATGCGTGTTGCTCGTTTCAGATGTAACACAGTGAGTGTTGGTACACGATGCACGTAGCTATCTGAACCTGCGCAAGTAACCCGCGAGAGTGGCTGCGCGCATTGCGGAGCGTGCGTGTTACCTTCGAAAGTAAACCGCGCTATTGTTGGACCCGCATAGTCTTTTTCACGAAGCAAATAACCTGCACAAATACCTCAACATGCGCAAGCTATTTGCATCGTGTCCATCCTCACTTCACAGCCTTTACTAGTCCACTGCTGGACATAGGCCTCTCCTTAGAAAGGAGGTTTTGGCCTACTATACCACGCTGGCCAGACGGATTGGCACATGGTTTGTTTCAAGTTTCCTTCTTTTTGCAGCTCTGTTATCCTACATAGTTTGCTCCCTTAGTCGGCTCTTACGACACCCACGGGATGAATAGGGGTGGTGACACTCTGTATTCTTAATCCGTCACCACACGGATTGCATCGTGTAGAAGCACCCTAAGGTTAGATTGTAATTTCAGATGTTAATTTGTTCAAATGTTTTAAATCCATGAATATTGTTTTATGGCTCTTTTCATGGAATAAATCGGCGAGAATCGAGAGTAAGTTTTAATAACTATTACATGTTACACCAAAAAGGGTAAACAAGTAAAGTAAGTCCTTTCCAGCCACCTTACCTTAAGGATATTTTCTGTATAACTTGGTTTTAGTGTTCAAATAGTGTCTATAATGAAATGATTTACCGAGTTCCAGTCCCAGCGGTGGGACAGGGTTGGCGACCACCATGCCGATGAGAGCGAGAACTAATGCCACCTGTGGGAGAAATATACGGATTAATCTCACTACGTCACTACACAGTCAATGAACTTTTGCACTAACGGGGACTAGATATTCTTAAAACAGTTATTCATCGTTATCAAGCACTTCATCTCTTCTATGGTCCTTCTCTGCTCTTGTATTTGTACTTTTAAACATGACGACAGAAAGAAGAGTTCGATGCGAAACGGGATGAGGTCAAGACCCGAACACCGGCGACCATACATTACAATTATATCGGCGGTTAGCAGACTTGCAGTAAATGACGCAAGTTCACGGCAAATAATAATAATAATAATAAAAAAATGGCTATACAGATTAAATATATATAAATAATATTTTATGAATAAATATAGTAATAATCATTCCCCTCTCTCTCTCTTTTATGCTGTGCCCGACAGGGTCCATAATTGATACCTAGCTTAAGTTTTTACCAACTGTAAAATTTACATTATGGCAGCAATAAAGTATTGAGTATTGAAAATCGGGTACGTCAGAGCACATCAACGACTTTCATTAAGCAGTTACAAGTTGCCGTGGTCATATACGATCTGGATGGACGTTACTCCGAAAAAATTAAGTAACATATCTGATTGTAGATGTGCAAACAACGTTTCTTTCGCTTTCTTTAAATACGTGGAAGGGAATTTGCGAAAAGGATGGGAAGTTGTAAGAGAAAACCCCGGGAAGCGCGCGCTATTAGGTTTGATTAATGAGCCCGCATGGAGCCGGTGTTGGTCGTCAGATATTGCACATTAATTTGCGACTGCTGTTTAATTCTTTATTAAAAAAGCTCTCTAAACGCCATCTATTCCCAAACTAAGCAGAGCTTGTACTAGACAACTGATATAAATACATTTATACTTTTTTTTTGTAAATACATGCATATTATACATAGAAACACCTAGAACAAATCAAACATAAAATTGTCATGCACACAAATGTTTGTCTTGAGCGGGAATCGAACCCGCGACCTTTGAAATAGCAGTCCGTTTAACAAACCACTACGTCATCCGGTCGTCATTTTTTTTAACATACAGATAATTAATTTTAAAAATTATATAGGTTAAAAAGGATTCCCTGAGATATTAATGGGATGTGCAAGGATGCATTTGCACATCCTATTAATATCTCAGAGGATCACTCGGAGGACACAAGGATGTGTAATGTTTATTTTACTACGCACAAAGAGATGTATGTGGTTGAATTGATGTTTTTCCTACCAACTGTCTACTTAAACATAAAACCGTGGCCAGAAAACTTTGCCGTGTATTTCTGCGTTTAGTGGAGTAGACTTCTACTGTCTCGTGCATTTTGTAGTTTATTCTGATTTAGGTATTGCCTTTCTTTTTCTTTCTTCTTTTTTCTTTATTTTTAAAAAGACAACTCCCGCATTAGGAATAAATCCTGTGTCGCGGGGGACTTTACAAACACACATGAAACGGACACAAAGAACACCCAGACTTAGAACAACAATTTGTGGATCACACAAAGTGTCGTCCCATGTGGGGTTTGAACCCACAACACTCGGCGTATTAGGAAGCGGCGTGGCGACCGCTTAAACCACTACGCCATCCGTGTTTTTTATGAGTCGGAAATCATTTAGTATAAAATGCAGACGACTACTGTGCTCATTTCTTAAATTTAGTTTTAAACAAGCATCGGATAGGGCTCGATTAGCCATTTTGTCGATTCGGGGAGGGCCTGAAATAACATGGTCTGGGTCCTCCCGGAGGGCGCCTGAGGCTATTCGTCGGGGTGATTTCACATACTCCTGGTTCCTGAGTTTCCGAGGAGCAGGAGATTGGAAGGGAAAAAGCTACTTCCCAATAAATAAGTTGGATCAAAATCGGCTCATCCGTCTAGGGGCTTTGATGGCATAGAGTGACAAACAAAAAACGATTAAAAATAATATTTCTTACTTACCGCGCACTTCATGTTTGTGTCAAAGAAGATACCAGAGCAAGGATTAAATAATAACTGCACCGATTAACTACTGCAAGCTTTATATAGTGTGTGCAGGGCCACGCATCACCGACTGCACTGCACCACCCATCCTGCTTGGTACGCCGGTGCCGTCCTATGAAATACGTAGATATTTCATCACCAATAAAAAATGAACAGGATTTCATAAGAATTTTTTCAGATATATCACTGCTGTTAGTTATCAGGATGGCTACTAACCGATCCACTTTTAAACTTCCAGTATGCAAACTCTGTGCTCGGGGACTTCCATTCAAGGGTATACCAAAGTCCCCTGCAATCCTCACATATGACGGAACACAGTGTGGTTCTAGTCGGTTCGATTCTGAGATATGGCATTGCCGGGAACCAAAAAAAAAGTATGCAAGCTCTATGACACTTGTTGACAGATTCTTCAGAATAACACTGTTGTTCCACCTGCGTGTATGTCAGTTTTCATGGTAAAAAGCAGTCTATAGCACTCAAGGACAATATACCTTTCTAACCGTGAAAGAATGTTCAAAATTGGATCTGTAGTACCGGAGATTACCACGAACATACGAACTCACAAATTTTACCATTTTTTTTTCATTAAAATAAATAAAACTGTACTCGTATATTGACTGTGGGTCATGCTTTTACACAAATAGGCGGGCTAGACCAAAGTGTTACTATGGCTTAGGGATGGCATAAAATCACAATCACATAAGATAAATCATATCATTCAGTAGCTGACCCGCGCAACTTCGTCTGCGTCTCTCAATAGTAATAAATTTTCTCCGTTTTTGAAACATTCTTCATTGGTGCTCCGCTCCTATTGGTCTTAGCGTGATGATATATAGCCTATAGCCTTCCTCGATAAATGGGCTATCTAACACTGAAAGAATTGTTCAAATCGGACCAGTAGTTCCTGAGATTAGCGCGTTCAAACAAACAAACAAACAAACTCTTCAGCTTTATAATATTAGTATAGATAAATCATCACACCTGTGACTGATTTACAAAGCCACTGCGACTTATTATTATAATTACGTTAGCGCAAGACTCGGAAAGGTCTAATTCTATAAAAAAAGGTCTTAATCGTAAGTCGAAAAAAATAATTTTGATTGATTTAATGGCATAATCTTTGTGTGTGACGAAATCACAATCACATGTGAAATCGCTGCGACTAAAACCAATCTTTTCATCAAATGAATATGATTTAAAAGTAGCAATGATTTCCATGTCTACTCTGGCTTATCAGAAAACTGGTGTTAAGGAATTCTTTGGTTACTTTCTACCGAGTGAGTGTAGTTACCAGAGCTGCAAACTCCCCCCTTACCTTAACTCTTTGCTGAATGGGGAACTCTAAAGGCGACAAAACACTTATGATTCTAACTGACTGATTCTGGTGCAGTGGTTTAAATGGACACCACGCCGCTTTCTACAGCGTAGTGTTGTGGGTTCGATCCCCGCATGGAACAACGCTTTGTGCGATCCACAAATTGTTGTTCTGAGTCTGGGTGTTCTTTGTTTCATGTATGTTTGTAAAGTCCCCCGTGACAAAGGAATATATTCCTAATGCGGGAGTTTTCTTTTTAATAATACAAAATACTAATACTAAATACGTGTCCTTGAGTGGCGGTGGTCACTTACCATCACGTGACCCGTCTCCTCGCTTCCCCTCATACCATAAATAGTAAGTAAATATTTATTAATTAGTTGTATAATAATAATAATAATAAATATACAGGGAATACGCGGCCGAGAGTGATGCGCTTTGTGAAACAGGCATTCTTGGGAACTACCATTAGTCCTCAGCAGTACATGTCATGTGTCACAGAGCGCATAGACTTTCTAAAGCAGAAAATTTATGCATGGGCAAATAGGATAAGACGGTATAAAAAACGAATAGATCGGTATAATCAGAATCGGATGTTCCAAAGAAATGAGAAGTGGGTGTACCGGAAATGGGAGGAACCGGATCCATGTGTGGGTGATAGGCATTTGCCAGATGAAAATGTCACAAATACATTTTGGCGTAACATTTGGTCGGTGCCTGTCATTCATATAGAAGATGATTGGTTGCAGGATGTCAGACTCTCATGTGAGTCAATAACACCTATGGAACCTGTTAAAATTGATAAAGATGATGTAAGTTGTGCAGTTCGTTCATTACCGAATTGGAAATCACCTGGTCCAGACGGACTGCACAACTTTTGGCTCAAGTGGTTCCGAAGCTCACATGCGCGTTTGGCATCTCAATTCCAGGCAACTTTGGATTCGGGTTCATTACCCCAATTTTTAACCACTGGCATAACCCACTTACTCTATAAGTCTGGTAGTGTCATGGATCCCAAAAATTTTAGACCTATTACATGTTTACCTACCATGTATAAACTTCTAACATCTATTCTGAGACTCAAAATTACTTTACATATTAATAATAATTCGATTATGTCAGTTTCTCAGAATGGATGTAGAAGTGGGACCCGTGGCACTAAAGACCTCCTTATCATAGACATGACCATTAGCCAACAGGTACGTCGTAATCGTAAGAGTTTGGCGACGTGTTGGATAGATTATAAGAAGGCTTATGACTCGGTTCCACACTCATGGCTTTTGAAGGTGCTGGAGTTGTATAAAATTGATACAACTCTGTGCACTTTCTTGAAGTCATGTATGGGGCAATGGAGAACAGCACTTCGCTATCCAGGATGTCGGCAGACGGCGATACATGATGTACTAATAAAGATCGAGCGGGGTATATTTCAAGGTGATAGTCTGAGTCCCTTGTGGTTTTGTCTGGCTTTGAACCCTCTTAGCACTTTATTAGAGGGTTCAGGGTTAGGCTATAGGTTGCAGAAAGATGATAAAGTTATATCTCACCTTCTTTATATGGATGATTTGAAACTGTTAGCCTCCAACAAATTACAATTGACAAAGTTACTAAAGGTGACGGAAAACTTTAGTAATTCTATCAAAATGGAATTTGGTGTAGACAAGTGTGCAGTCATGTATGTAAAGAAGGGTGTGATAGCTGAATCTGAAGGAATAGAGCTTACAGATTCAACAAAACTCAGATCTCTGTCTGCCACTGAAACTTACAAGTATCTGGGTATATCACAGTCGTTGGGAATACCAGAATCTAACATGAAACAAACATTGCAGGAACGCTTTTTTGGCCGCTTGAAAAAAGTACTTAAAAGTCTTTTATCAGGGGCAACAAGGTGCGAGCCTGCAATGGTTGGGTCATGCCGGTTCTGATGTATTCCTTTGGTATACTTAGATGGACTCAGACCGAATTAGATGCCCTTGACAGGAAAGTCCGTACACTGCTGACTGCATCCCGAATGCACCACCCACGTTCATCAGTTATGAGATTGTATATCCCGCGAAAGCTTGGGGGTCGCGGACTATTAAATATCAAGACCCTACATAATCGCGAGATATGCAATCTCAGAGAATATTTTCTACATACCGACGTGGGAGTGCATCGCAATGTAGTTGCAGTGGATACTGGCTTCACCCCGCTTGCTCTGGCTAAAGAGAATTGGCGCAGACCTGTAGTACTTAGTGTTAATGATCGCAGGGAAGTATGGAAGGGCAAAGAGCTCCATGGTCGGTTTTATCGGGCCCTAAACGGGTCCGATATAGATTTAAAAGCATCTACGACTTGGCTACGGTATGGTGACCTCTTCGGAGAAACTGAAGGTTTCATTTGTGCGATTATGGACGAAGTTATCATGACGAATAACTATCGGAAATATATCCTGAAAGATGGTACGGTTGACATCTGTCGGGCATGCCACCGTCCTGGCGAATCAATCAGGCATATTATTTCTGGTTGTTCTCGTCTTGCTAACGGAGAATATTTGCACAGACACAACCAAGTAGCCAGGATCGTACACCAACAGCTTGCCCTTAAATACCATCTTGTGAATCTAGAGGTGCCATACTATAGGTATGTGCCCGACCCAGTTCTCGAGAATGGTCGGGCCACGTTGTATTGGGATCGATCTATTATCACAGACAGGACTATTGTTGCCAATAAGCCTGATATTGTGCTGATAGATCGATTAGAGCGCCGCGCAATGATTGTTGATATCGCCGTTCCGCATGACGAGAATCTCGTGAAAGTTGAAAAAGAAAAACAAATTAAATATTTGGATTTATCTCACGAGATTGTCGATATGTGGAATGTTGATTCAGTGATCATTGTTCCGATAGTCGTATCTGCTCACGGATTGATAGCCAAGAGCCTCGACCAACACCTTAAGAGGCTCACGTTGGACGGCTGGATCAAGGGTCTGATGCAGAAGGCAGTCCTCCTTGACACGGCTCGTATAGTGAGGAGGTTCCTATCTTTGGAGTCCTAACCACCGGTGTCTTGGTCCCTGTACCCGATGTCGGTGGTCTACTATTTTTTATATTTTTAAATGTATTTTGTTATAATTTTTTATAAAGTGTATGTTTAAAAATGTAAATAATATGTATATAAAGTAAATAAAGAGAATAATAATAATATAATATAATAATATTGTACCACATCCACACAACGCCATCTAGTCCCAAACTAAGCAGAGCTTGTACTATGGGTACTAGACAACTTATATAAATACATATATACTTTTGTTTTTGTAAATACATACTTATTATACATAGAAACACCCAGACCAAATCAAACATTAAATGTTCCTGCACACAAATGTTTGACTTGAGCGGGAATCGAACCCGCGACCTTTGGAATAGCAGTCCGTTACACAAACCACTACGCCATTCGGTCGTCTAATGTAGTTCTTGTATGTTTAGCCCACACAGCCTGCAACACCCAAAGGTTTGACTGGAAGAAAATGTCAATGGCATCAAGTACATACGTCTTATACAATTGACCTCTTGGTTTTTTTTATGAAAGAGGGAGAAACGAGCAGACGGGTCACCTGATCGACTACCGCCCCTCATGAACGTCTGCAACTCAAGAGTCCCAAGAGCGTTGACGGCCTTTGAAGAAGGAATACGTATTTTTCTCGGAAATACCGTAGACGATAACTTGTTCCACAGATTGGTGTTTGAGGTAAAAGTGAAAAATAATTAGCTTAAACGTCAAATTTACGGTTTGATAAATGTAATTATCATGATTCAACAATCCTACCGCCTAATCAAACGACTTTCTTAAAAACCTTGTATTTTAAACTGTATTTGTAATTGTAACGGAAATATATTACTGAACACTTCTACTCTAGTTGCATTATTGATTTACATTAGTTGCTGTTTAAACAGTTACTGACTGCACGGATGGCGTAGTAGTTTAAACGGTCACCACGCCGCTTCCTACTGCGCTGACAGTTGTGGATTCGATCTCCGCATGGAACAACACTTTGTGTGGTCCACAAATTGTTGTTCGGAGTCTTCGTGTTCTTGGTGACCGTTTCATGTATGTTTGTAAAGGGATGACACAGGAATGTATTCCTAATGCGGTTCTTTTTTAAAAAAAAGTTGATACTAGTACCATTTGGTACATTGTGGTGCCGGCTTATTCCAAGTATCTACTAAGTAGACACGGAAATTATTGGTACTTTTAAATTATATTTATTTGATGAAATGATGGTTTTAGTCACAGTGATTTCACATGTGATTGTGATTTCGTCATAGATAAAGTACCAAGCCCAATTACCAATACCAATAGACAAAGATGGCAAAAAGGCCAGCAGCGCGTTTGTGACTCCTGAGTTGCCTCACGGGCGGCGATGGTCACTTTCCATCAGGTGACCCGTCTGCTCGTCTGCCCCCTCTAACATAATAGGAAAATTAAAATTATATTTTTTTATCAACTTGGTGAAGAGTTTAGTATGGCCCCATCACAGCGCCGAACGCGGTCACCGTGAAGATCGAGTAGAAGTGAAATAAACCGAGTAGAATTTGATTTGTTTCGATTTTTTTTTATTTATTTTTTTATTATTATGTTAATTTCTTATATTTATCCCAATCCGGCATTGACGACCAGCTGGCTAAGGAGGCGGTACGCTCGAGTCGGCGGAAGCTCGACTACGACGACGACTACGCAGCGACCCTAAGGTGTTGTAACGCAGATGCTGGTGGGATATGGTGAGTTCTCCCAATACTTGAATCGCATGGAGGGAGAGCCCATCATGTATCTGCAATCTAGCAAAAGAAGAAGATGTTATACACGTAATCTTTGAGTGCTCAGTATTTGGCGCTCAAAGATACGACGGTGAACAGCGCCATGGATGAAGAATTGTGAAAGAAGAGCCTCATCATCTACTAGAAAAGAAGAAATTATGACTGCATTTCCTAAAGTTTGCAACGATAATTTGCGAAAATGTCATAGAAAAGAATAAGTAATCAAAAATAAGACGCAAAATAAAATAAACAGTGCACGCAAAGGGTCATGCAAGAGGTAATTTAAATTATCAATAGTTTTAATTAAATAAAAAGTGCACTTAATGTTAATGTTGTAATGAGATTGTAATAGGCACACACTTACCGTGTCAAAATCATATCTTTAATTTTGTCGGGTTGTGTGGGTATAGCGGTCAAAATTTATTTTTAAAGTTAATTTTTACCCCTTTCCTGTGTATCCCTTGTTGATCCCGTGCTTCACTTTGGAGCTTCAGGTGTCCATGGGCTGTGGTAGTCACTGTTCGTTTGCCCCCCTATCCCATAAAAAAGTACCATATATTTTATCCGGACTATTTGGACTGTCTGTAGGGCAAGATAGAAAAAATGTCTGATGAAGAGAATTTACTGTTTGTTTGTTGAACTTATGGGCCATATAACTAAAACAACCATGGAGATACATTAATTTAATCGAATAACACAAAAACAACCATTGTAAATTGAAAAAAAGAAAATGTAATAAATATTTGAGGGTACGCTAAGTAAATTCGTACAACTAAGTATCACCCGCAATTGTGTCGCTGCTTACCGAATCACAGTTTGCTAAATATTAAAAAATGTAATACGCAAGGTAATAAACAACTTAGCTATATTCTGACTGAAGGGTTTTTCATATAAACTTTAATATCTAAGGGAATAAATCTTTCTGCGTCATAAAAACCGCTGAATAAAGAAAAAACTTAAGACTAAGAACAGCCGATAGCTTTCATAATTAGAGCTTTATATCTCGGCATCCGGACCGGGCATCTTGGACAACAGAACTGCAACGTTTTTCTGTCTCTCTGTCAGTGTTGTTAGAACTAACTTTTCTTCTGCTAAAAGAGTACAAAGTACAGACGTTTCTTCTGGATTATTTTGCAGTTATGTCTTACTAGCCCCGACCAGGATGGAATCTACATAAAAACATCCAGGAATATTGACCGAAAAAGTGATTTGTCTCTGAGTTAGCTTATCGTGCTTAGTAAAAAATCTGTAAACGGATGGAGTCATCAGAAATGATTTATAAGCACATCACTAGACTTTATCCTCATCAGGAACACTACCAGCTGTGTTGTGCTCTTACACTTTGTGGTGCCGACCAGAAGTTCGAGGAGGTTAAAATTTGTCTAGTCGGTTTTCTAGTTTGTCTCTTCGGTCTCATACAAAATAATTTCAACCTTAATAGAATTATATTGAATCTTGTTAAGGATGTGGAATGTGTCTTGGCTGAAGAAACTATTTTCTGGATTTGATAGATGTGAACGCATTGTAAGTAATATACACTCGACCAGGTTAATTCTGCAATAAATAATATGGGGTTTAAATAACATGAAAGATATAAAGGTTATCGATTGTATGTGGAATGGCGATATACCTAAAACAATGACTATTATTAGTATTATTAGAATAAAATAAATTCTTTAAAAAAAAGTTGAACCGACTTCAAACAAAACTAACACAAAGAGCACTAAAAAACTAGCAGCAATCGCGGTTCATTTGCTGTCATTTTTTGAAGAGTTCCGTTGTCTGTCCCCGAAAATCATCATCAAATCTATATGAAATTTAAATGGTACTATTTCGGAATAATAATTCAAGCCCGATAATACATAAAAAAAACCTAATTGGTAACCGCTTCCTTGTCACTGGAAAGTGATTACCACCACCCGCACATCCGCAGCCCGATGTTACACCAGGTGACCCAAATAACACATTTCTGTGTAAAGTACAAGATTCTTGGTCACTTATTAATAATATTTTTAAATTTTCTGTTTGACATCAACTTGATGTTAAAATTAATGAGTATATAGTAACCTTCCAGCGATCGTTATCATAATCCCAGTGGGAGGAGAGGCCATCTATTGGAGCCACACGCAACTCCAGCATCCTTCGCAGCTGAGCCTTCTGTGACGTTTTTGAACAAGAAGCAGGCAGAGGTTCAAATACTGAAATAACAAATATTGAAACTGTATAATAAATAAATCATCCCGGTTTTTTTCTTCTGGGAGCAGAAGAACATCTGAACGTCTTCGTTCCAGGTCTGTTATTCCATCGGACGGAAGCTCCAGTGTGACTATGGAAATCGAACTCCGCGACACTAAGAATCACAATCGTGGACGCTCCGAGGAAGTCGCCGTCTTCTCTAAGGCGGAAGTATACGCTCAGGCCAGAGCGGAGGGCGAAACGGTAGCGGAGGAGGTAATAGCTAATCTCCTGCAAAAGATACGAGAACTAGCCGAAGGGGCCTCTGTCTCCCAAGCACCGGTATCCATGCAGGAGAGGGCGAACGTAGCGGTGGCCATAATTAACAAGGTGGCCACTAAATCTACAAATCTTAAGGGTCAATTTGTGAAGGCCCATGTGAAGGTCAATGTGTAAGGACTCCTCCTCCGCCATATCTAGCGTGTTAGAAGCCCTCATTGCCAATGTGGCTCGTCTCGAAGCGGCTAACGATTGATTGACAGAGCAGGTGGCAGGGCAATACGCCCAATTCAGGTCGTAGGAGGATCGCCCTGAGCGACAGGGCTTGGCTTCACAGGAGCCTCGCCTCCCCGCTCACGGTCCCGGGGATGCCTCCGATGCCCACCTGCGCAAAATACTTGACGCGGTGTGGCGCATGTTGGACGGACGTCTCGCGGACCTGGAAGCGATGCTGCCGCCGCCCCCCGTTGTTCGGCCGCCTCTAGCAGCGGATAGGTTGAAGACAGCAACCGTGCAGACTCCGCTTCCTGTCGCGGGTGGCCGCGTGTCTTATGCGGCGGCGGCGTCGGCAACCGCGCCGATGACTGCATTAAAAGCGGGACGAGTGGAGATACGGGAAGGGCGGCCGCACCGAGGTCTGGGCCTCCAACAAAGACCGTGCCAAAGGCAGGAACAGAGCTTCCACGGTCCCCCACTCTAACACCTGGCCGCTCAACAACGGTCACCTGTACGACTACTCCCTCAAACGATGGGTGGCAAGTGGTCGGGGGGACCAAGAAGTCCCGAAAGCGGGGTAAGAAGGCCAAAAAATCTGCCCTGCCGCTGCTGAAGGCCCGGGACAGCCTCGCTAATGATTTCGGGACGATAGGGGTCAGGATGCGCCTTGCCCAAACGGGAGCTCTAGTCCTCGAGTTCCCTGAGGCTGAAGGCGCAAAGACGGTAGACACATTCGCTGAGAAACTGCGGGGAATATTCGCAGCCACGGATGGTGTAAAGATCGCCAGGCCCACAAAGTGTGCGGAGCTGCGCATCTCCGGCCTGGACGATTCTGTGACGACCGAGGATGTCCGCGTTGCAAATCGGGAGAAGCCGGGGTGCAGCGGGGACAACATCAAAGTCGGCACGATCCGCCCCGGTCAGGGAGGCCTTGGTGCAGTGTGGGTCAGTTGTCAAGAGAGATCAAGAAAAAAAGGCCTTCGTACAGCTGTGGACGGCGATGGGCTAATGTTGATGATAGTAAATCAGGAACACCCCTTTACAGCGCTTTACGGTAATGGCTGGTTTATATTTTAGTGTTGTGTGTTTAGTGTTAATACGTATAGAATAAAAATAAAGAGAAGACTCCGTGGGAGTCATGTTGCCTCTCATGTTCCTCCTCTTTCTTTATAAGAGGTACAGGAGACCCAACCAGCCTCCTCCTCATTCTGTTAATGGGGTGGGAGGCAATAGCAGGGGGCTACACTAGTGTCTCTTGAGTTGTAGATGTACATGTCCGATTTTATAATAAAATCCCAAACAATACTCAAGACTTAAATATTAACAAATTTAAATCCACAGTAAAACGTGACGTATGCCAGAGGACCTACTTACTCAATTGTGGATTACATAGAAGACAAACATGCTTGGGTTTAATTAGCGCAGGCTATTTCTTGAGTAAAAATGTGGTGTGGGCTAGTGTGTTTTTTATTATTTTATTTTTTTATGTTTCCCTTTATTTTTTTATTTTATTAGTTTTTTTCTTAATCTTTTTTTCTTTTCATTGTCTTTTTACCTTTTAGTCCTTAATAACGGACATACACATATTACAAAAGAGTGGCCATGAGTTTGTTTGTCCTCTCTTCTCATAAGGCTCAACCCCATGGAAAGGGACCACCCCTTTTGTAGATCGGCACAGGCATATCATAGATTTTGTTTAAGTTTAATTTCTTATCATTTATTTGCTTATAGCCTCTCCAGATGAGGCGTTTTCAATTCATATTGCGTCCAGGTGAAACGTTTTACGCGCGTTGCTACGCAGGGAGGGATTCAGTTATAAACATGCACTCGGAGACAGCGGTTGTGTTGTAGCTTGCAAACCGTCGATGGAAACATCGTAAACAAAGAGAAAGTCGACGATTTAACGTGCATCCAATTGTAAGTAACAGTAATGTAAATATTCTGTAAAAAAAATATCAACCTCCAACTCGATTGTCGTTGATGTGGAGTTGAGCCCCATTTTGTAATACGTCCACTCGCTACGGATTCGCGCGTAGTACTGGACGCAGTAATGGCGCCCGAGTATCTCGACTCGCGCGGAGCTGGCGCTTAGAACGCGCGAGTCGAGAGCCTCGCTCATTACCAGCGTTTTACGCGCGAGTGAGGATACGCGCGTCATCATCTGGACGGAATATATGTAGCTCTAGTATCTCGGGAACGCGCGAGTGATGAGGCGTTTTACGCGCGAGTGAGGATACGCGCGTCATCATCTGGACGGAATATATGTAGCTCTAGTATCTCGGGAACGCGCGAGTGATGAGGCGTTTTACGCGCGAGTGAGGATACGCGCGTCATCATCTGGACGGAATATATGTAGCTCTAGTATCTCGGGAACGCGCGAGTGATGAAGCGTTTTACGCGCGAGTGAGGATACGCGCGTCATCATCTGGACGGAATATATGTAGCTCTAGTATCTCGGGAACGCGCGAGTGATGAGGCGTTTTACGCGCGAGTGAGGATACGCGCGTCATCATCTGGACGGAATATATGTAGCTCTAGTATCTCGGGAACGCGCGAGTGATGAAGCGTTTTACGCGCGAGTGAGGATACGCGCGTCATCATCTGGACGGAATATATGTAGCTCTAGTATCTCGGGAACGCGCGAGTGATGAAGCGTTTTACGCGCGAGTCAACTCGCGCGTAAAACGCCTCATCTGGACAGGCTCTTACGGTTTTATAAAACAGAGATTGTTGCTATTGTGTGTGTTGATCTATGACTTTGGAGTCTACATAAAAGACGATTTCAAATAATTTTAAACTTTTTATGATAAAAAGAGAGTTTGAGATTAAAATAGACGAGTGGTAACAATGAACTCACCATAGTAATGATTAAGCATCATAATCCAAAACGTGAAAGAAGTCATTCCAATTCCAATGCCTGCTATTATCTTCCACTGCCCCGTGGGATGTTGGAACTCTGAATATGTCTGGCAGAATGAAGCTCGGTATAGAGCCTTCTTTTCCTCGCAACACAGCATCCGCCAGTCCCCCTTCTCTTTCTCACGGAGTGCCTGTATCGAGAAATAATATATAATTAGATATCAAGATGGCCACCAGTTCTCATAACATAAAAAAAACCTGAACCTATAAATTTTAACCTGATGTATGATAATGTGCATACAGTACGGTTCCATTGTGTGTGTGTGTATGAGTTTATTTTTTATTTATTTAGGTATCTATCTTAGTATGGTTTGTTGTTTTTTTGTATAATATATTATTTAAACATTTTTTTAACCAAACGCACCATTATCACACATTTATCTTTTCTACATCACTCACTGATTGGCTGGCTCGTAGATAATGTCTCAGGCATTAAGTACCTATCATTACACCCATACAGAACAAATAATCGTGCTCGGAACCAGTGAGAATCAAACTAACCACCTCTGACTAAGCAGTCAGGAGCAATTACCATTAAAATAACAGTCCGTTGAAAGTGAAGAAGTCGCATCGTATCTTTTAGCTAAATCGTCATCGACATCGACAGCCTTTACTAGTCCACTGCTGGACATAGGCCTCTCCTTAGAAAGGAGGTTTTGGCCTACTACACCACGCTGGCCAGACGGGTTGGTATAGGGTTTGTGTGTCAAGTTTTCCTTCTCTCTGCAGTGCTGTTGTCCTGCGTAGTTTGCTCCCTTAGTCGCCTTTTACGACACCCACGGGATGAATAGGGGTGGTGACACTCTGTATTCTTAATCCGTCACCACACGGACACTTTTAGCTAAAAATATGACTAAACAAGTTTACTAATGGAAAAGCAAAAAAATCCGACTGCAAAGTGCCCTAAAATTCACAAACTTAATTATATTATAATTTGTATACTTTTTAGCATTTCTCGTTTCAAATTACATTTAAATATACAAGTTGTATTAATTTTTTTAAGACTTTAATTTGGTACCCCACTCGATAGATTAAAATAAGTTAAAAATCCAAAAGCCTATATTTAATTTTCATATACCCAGTATTAGTGTGGTGACGGATTAAGAATACAAATTGTCACCACCCCATTTCATCCCGTGGGTGTCGTAAGAGCCGACTAAGGGAGCAAACTAAACTAAGCAGGACAACAGCACTGTAAAGAGAAGGAAAACTTAAAACAAACCCTATACCAACCCGTCTGGCCAGCGTGGTATAGTAGGCCAAAACCTCCTTTCTAAGGAGAGGCCTATGTCCAGCAGTGGACTAGTATAGGCTGTTGATGTGTGATGATGATGATGATGATACCCAGTATCACTCCCACTGCTGAGACGAATTCCAAAATCAATTAAGCCGTATAGGCTACAGCGTGTCCAAGACATTTACATACCTACAGTGATAAAATAACCATTTCATATTTATGTAAAACTAGTTGAAAAGCGTAACTTTGTCTGGTTGGCAAAAAAAAAAAAAATTTTGCTCGTTTTCGAACATTTTCTTTGATAGTCGGCTCTTATTGGTCGTACCATGATGTTATATAGCCTATACCTTCCTCGATACGAGGGCTATCCAACACTAAAATAATTTTTCAATTCGAACCTGTACTTGTTGAGAGTACCCGAACATACAAACTCACAAACTTTACTTAATTATATTATTTAGTATACATCTCTCACAGTTGTCACATTCGCTCGTTCACTTTTCTTAGTGAGATTAAAAAAAAATTTGTCTGATTTTTCAAAGTTTCTTTTATACAAACCTTTTCATGACAATAACGAACACAAAAAAAAGAATTATCAATTTTCGTGGAGTTGTTCCGCCGGGGCCTTCTTCGGGGCCCGTAAACGCGCGGAGCCCGCAGGATTCACTACTCTTGCTACGTAGCTAATTCGCCACTGCATAAGGACCTTCTTTATTAAGTGAATTTATAAATTTGAAGTATGTGATTCAATAACTTTACGTTATACAGCTACGATTTCTACCAATGTAAAATGATTCCAATTTATTCTAAGGTCCCCCCTCTATAGCAATAAGTACTTTTACCTTTTATTCTATCTATCAATATGTCAAAATGTTATTTGAACTCTAACCATTTACAGTATTTTTCGAGATCTAAAATTTAAGTCGTGATGTATGTTATAAATAGAAGCAAGTAGGTTGATACATTACACAGACATCCCTCGTGTTTTCCTTGAACCTCACTGCCGGGAAGGGAAAAAGAGGATCATCCTTGTAATTGGCACTTCCGTTTATACCGAACCCCACCCAATCCCGGTTTCCAATTCTGCATCTGTTGTGGATTTCTCTTACGTGCAGCCGTAACGGTGTGAGAATACCGAAGGATTTTAAATTTACCACAACAGACATTTTTTCTGTCCGCTGTTGTAAACTGTTTGACAATTCAACATGTTATTTTTTTACTTTTAACAAGTGACAAAAGTCTATGGTCGCTCAAAATAGGTTGTTTTGTACTGTATTTAATGCAATTTGTTGTGTAAACTCTATTAAAATTGTTTGTGTACGTGCGATTATTAACAAAGAAGAATGAATAAGCGAAACATAAAATATCAATACAAAACCATTTATTTGCAATTTTTTGAGATGACTGACAGATATTATTTATTAATTTATTTTTACTTTTTTATGGAAGAGGGGGCAAACGAGCACACGGGTCACCTAATGGAAAGTGGCTACCGCCGCTTATGAACGCCTCCAACTGAGGACTCACAAGGGCGTATCCGGCTCAATCCGGTACAATTCTCACTGAAAAGCCAATTACAAGTCTTCACGTATCATCAACAGCCTTGAATAGTCCACTGCTGGACATGGGCCTTTCCTTAGAAAGGAGATTTCTTCACGTATATAGCTATATTAAAAATTTAATATGCAATCTAGTGAAAAAAAAGGTTTAAATGTTTTAATACTAAATTAGGTGGGTGGTGCATTCGGAGTGCAGTCAGCAGCGTACGAACTCTCGTTCAGGGGATCTAATTCGGTTTGAGTACATCTAAATATACCATGTAAAGTTGCCTGGCCAAGTATCTGATAGTATTTCAGCGCTTTCCTCGTATTGGGGATCTGGGGTCTTGTGAATAGTAAGATTAATTTCCGCAATTAAATCTTCAACCGCACAGTGTCGAACCATATCAGTTAAACGCAAATTGCCATACCATAATGTAGATGATACCAATGCATCATCTATGTACATTACGTATGGCGTATCCTGTACAAGAACAATGTCTAACTTTTGTTCTAAAATTATATGGTCTAATTCTGATGTGACTATTAGTTTATCTTTATTAAGATTTAATTGGCCTATTGAAATATTATACATTATTTAGTAAGGTACTATATAAACTATTCAGTAAGTGGTATTTAAGAATATAATCTAATCTAATCTAATCTAAGATGTACCGTTTGACCGTTATGTTGGATTGAAGTATAGCGATGGCATAGAAATCGATTACTAAAATAACTGATTCTTAAGAGATTACGATTATTTGGCGTAGGTGGGTAACAGAGACGTCCCCGGCACCGTGAGTGGGGGCAGGCTGCTGTGGAGCCGGGTCCTGTCGCTCAGGGCATTGGTGTCTACGACTCATAAGATTGTGGAGGAGAAGTCCTTAAGGGATCTAATGAATTGACCCTTGAGGTTTTTTTTTGTCTGCTAATCCCTCCCACACGCCCACCACTGTTACTCCTGTACACCAGGATCAACAGCAGTGACCCACAAACACACCGGGTTATGACACTCGGGAAGTCCCAGGAAAAAATTAAACTGTCTTGGAACCCGCAACGAAATTAATCAGAAGAAAATTGGAGGAGTTGGAAATACAGTAAATCCACTTTTCACCTTAGCTTGAGAAAAAATGAAGTAAAATAGGCATATACCCTTTTAAACAGTTTCTATAATATGTATGGTAGAATCGCCTAAACGCACGGAAATTCACCCTAGTTGACACAGGATCCCCATTGTATACTGCCCCAGATGTCATCTGCAAGCTATATGCCAAAGACTACACTCCCAGAGGATATGATGAGCAGACTGTTCACAGTTAGAGTTAGGTGTAAGGATTGTAGATGAGGTGGCCACCTTGTTTATGATGGTCATAGCCACTTTCGCATTCTCCTCGAACCCCATACCGTTGGTTCCTGAATGTGCCTCGGCTGGGAGTGAGCTTGCAACTGAACTACCTATCAGCCATCCAGCCCTGGCAACACACCAGAACAGGGGATTTGGGGTAATTTTTTATAGAGGTTTTCTTCCCCGCAGTTCGGGCGGCTAAGCCAAGATAATGGTCCTAGATCGGAGTCGCGAGACATAGCAACGACACTCCTTTCTGGACTACGATTTGTCGACGTCGGCAGGAAGACAAGGTCTCCCAATGCTTGCTCGGTGGCAGTGCGAGTAGCTTTCCTGCACTGCTGGGAGTGGAGAAATTCCCTCGCGATTTTCAATTGAGGTTTTCCTCCTCATTGCTATGAAGAGGGGGAAAACCAACAGAGGGATCGGAAGACACGTCCGCTCTGTTGGACCAAGCCACGACCGAATGGCCCCCTCTTCCTACTAAAATATAAGCCGTTCGCGATGATGCCCTCCTCCGAAAGGCGAAGGAAGAAACAGCGCCATTGCCAACATTTCCAGGGTGCTCCACGTGGAGGTTTTCCAGCCAAGAACCCCAACAGTCTAGTTACCATAGCACAGGCTCCGCATAATTTGACATCAAATGACATTGTGTGAGACGTGTCAAGATATTATCATTAAAAGTTTTTATGTTATCATAATTATATAAACATATTGGTACTAATATTGCCTTTGAAAAGGCGGGCAAAGTCTTAATATGTCTTTGTAATAAGATGCTCACATCTGAAATTTAATCCCACTTATGTAACAGACTTAGGGCCCATTTCTACCAACTGTGTATTTCGAAAAAAGATTGGAAACTTTGCAATATGCGTGGTAAAAGGGGTACTATAAAAGTAAAGGGTATTACTTGTGAGGATAGATTCGGTAGTGAAGCAATAACTCGAGTAATCCAGGGTTACATTCGAGTGCAGTACATTTTTATATATAAACTTCGTTATCTTAATTAAATCATCAAACTTTCAGTAGGAGTAACACATGAAAGTAATTTATTTAATTGATAAAATTAATTTACGTTATAAATATACAATCGATAACAACATTACATTCTTGATATAAGTCGACACTTGTACGCCCATAGTTTTAATCAACAAAAAAATTATTTCCAGCAAATAGGATCTAGCCCTACAGAACAGTTCAGGCTAATACTTAATATTATTATATACTAATACCATCATTCCACACGGCAAAATTTTCATCCTCGTTACCTGGATAGTTGGCGCTCCACTACTGTGCGCTTTTCGAGACACTTTTTGCCCCGCACAACCAATCTGTGGAACGGGTTATCGTCTGTGGTATTTTTGGACCGATACGACCTTCAAACCTTCAAGAAAAGAGCGTACTCCTTCCTAAAAGCCCGGCAACGCGTTTGTGACTCCTGAGTTGCAGACGTTCCGCGATAGTCACTTTCCATCAGGTCACCCGTCTGCTCGTCTGCCCCCTCTAACGTAAAAAAAACCAGTAGGTTCCTGATGAAGCGTTTAATCAATGTAAATATGCAGACAATGCTTCGGCCATTACATCTAATGCAGAATGTAATATTTTGTCCTAAATATGTTATTAGGAATAACTACATTTCTCCAAATAATTGTCGCTCCTCTGTGATCTCAATTCTAGGATTATTTGTGTTCATAGTTATACACGTTTATCTGTGTTATATAAGCTACTCTGCTATCCTCATTTATTCGGACATATTTCGACTTTTCATATGTCTCTTTGAAATGATATTCTACTCAGTGGGTTTCATGATAAATACGGTAGCTGCTATCGCTCAATCGAATGACAATGTTGGTTTTGTCACTATCATTCAAGAAGTCGCCGTTATGTTCAAATATACTTCTAAAAAGTACACCATCTGCAATTGGATGAGTGTGATCGCTATCTCGGTTTACTATGTAGTTTACAACATATTATGCTGCTTTGTGCTATTCAAAGACAATGATTCATATTACGGCGGTATTACATTGTTATTGAGTTTTGATATAAATATAGTATATGCTATCAGCTCAGTGAATCTCCTTCAAAGAAACCTTATTCTTTGGAATAATGCGATTATGACCTCTCACGGTGATTGTGGTCAGGACTTGTGCCGAAAGTTGTTCCAGGCATATGATCAAATACTACAGTGCTACAATATCTGTAAACGTACTTTTGGAATTTTGGTTAGTATCTGTCTTTTTATCAGTAGACGATTGTAAGTTGGATTTATTATTGTAAGTTGGACTAATAACATATTATTTTATTTATCTACTTGTATGTATCTAATAACACCACTAGTCCCTTTTAGCATATAGTATATGGCATATACCTTCTAGTACCTATGTCATATATTCACCTAAGTCGTATCTGAGTCCTAGACCTAGTCCTACCAGTTACTTTTTTGTAATTATCACTTTTTTTAAAAATATTTATATAGATTCTACATTGATTTCCTCTTCTAATTTACTCGTATTTTCTTAGTACACCAGCCACTACTCTACACCTTCTTGCCTTTATGTTTTTCTCTCCATACCAAGGTTGCCTGTAAAAGATTGCCTCTGAGCGATAAGGCCGCCATTTGTACCTGTCTAACCTAGCTTAAGTTAATCTTTATATATTTATACCTGGTGTACAATAAAGAGATTATTATTATTATTATTCTGTTCTTTTTCAGATCTTGTACCACATGATTGCAAGTTTTTTGCATGTGTTAGGATACGTAAAAGTATGTTTAGATTACTTAATAGAGATAAATAACACAACACTATCACAGGTGAGATAAGAGTAACAAATAGAAATCATATAATATTTTTTTATTTATTTATATTAAGCACATCAACAGCATAATTACAACATGGCGTTGCGATAACACAGGTAATAGATATGTATGACAATTAGTATATATCCAATGGAAAGACTTTTATACAAATGCTAATTAATAAAGATACACACACAAACATAAGAAAGAGACGACGATAAAACAAGAAAATATTTTTTCTTTTTAAATTAAAAGACAACAAAAACAAAACAAAACAGAACAGGCGCTCTAAGAGTTGGGTTCGGCAACATGGCTTGGTATGGAATGTCTGTGTGATGTGAATATCATGGAGAAGATATCAATGTTTTCCACTGTCATAGACCTTTCGTTATACAGCTTATGTAAACAGTTGAAGATTAGCAATATAAAGATAAGAAGACTAATAACAAATTTTATTTATAGGAAAAAAACATTGCCTTGCCGGTA